GATTCCATTAGGTAAAATTACTAAACAGCATGGGATAAATTTTCATTGTTATGCTGATGACACACAATTATATTTGTCCATTAAAGCCAATGAATCCAATCAGCTACTTAGACTACAAGCATGTCTTAAAGACATAAAAACCTGGATGACCCTTAATTTTCTCCTGCTGAACACAGACAAGATGGAGGTTTTGATTTTTGGACCTGAGCACCTTAGGAATTGATTTTTCAGTCTTTCTCCCTCCATAGATGGCATTAATCTGTCCTCCTGCTCTAATGTTAAAAATCTTGGTGTTATTTTTGATCAGGACATGTCTTTTGTCCCCCACATTAAAAACGTTACTAGAACTGCCTTCTTCCACCTGCGTAATATCACTAAAATTAGAAACATCTTATCTAAAAATGATGCAGAAAAACTGGTCCATGCATTTGTCACATCTAGACTGGACTGTTGCAATGGTTTGTTATCTGGGTGTCCAAATATTTCTTTAAAACATCTTCAGTTGATCCAAAATGCTGCTGCCAGAGTCTTAACTGGAGTTAGTAGGAGAGATCATATCTCTCCAGTTTTAGTTTATCTCCACTGGCTCCCTGTCAAATCCAGAATAGAATTCAAAATCTTACTTCTAACCTACAAAGCTCTCAACAACCTGGCTCCATCTTATATTACAGATCTTATTGTTCCATATTTAGTTCATAAAATTTACAAAAACAGAATGGGAGGCAGATCTTTCAGTTATCAGGCTCCTCTCTTGTGGAACCAACTTCCAATCTCTGTCTGTGAGGCTGCCACATTATCCAGTGTTAAAACTAGGCTTAAGATTTTCCTTTTTGCCAAATCCTATAGTTAGGGTCGGCTTGGGTTTCCTGAGCTGTCCCTTAGTTATGCAGCCATAGGCTTAGACTGCTGGAGGATAAACTGACCACACTTTTCACTCTGCTACTGTCTTTACTTACTCTGCTCAACCTGCTTTGTACTTGTAATTATTTTTTCTATCCTTAACATGTTTTTTTTGTCTTTCAGATAAACCTGGACCTATACCTGGACCTACCAGTCTGTGTTCGTTTGTCTCTCCTTCCTGTCCTCTCAACCAGCCGGTCAAAGCAGATGGCCGCTTGTCCTGAGACTGGTTCTACTGGAGGTTTCTTCCTGTTAAAAGGGAGTTTTTCCTTTCCACTGTTGCCACTTTGCTTGCTCAGGATAGGAGACTGCAACGAAGCCAAGATTCAACTTGTCTGCTGGATTTCTTAGATAGAGAACTTTACTAATTGGCTTTTATGTATGTGAATGTTTCTGTAAAGTGCCCTGAGACAACTTTGTTGTGATTTGGCAGTATATAAATAAACTGAACTGAATTGAATTTTAAAGGATGCAGCTTGACTCAATGGCCCAAAATACTGTTTGACATTTTACTTTGAAAGGTAACAGTAAAACAAAATGCTACTCAATGAGTCAGCTATTTTATGAAAAGTATTCTGACATTTTCTACATGATGCATCTTTTTACAGTCAAACTTCTGCCTCCACTTAAGACAGCTGGATGTAACGCCCAGCATTGGTGATAATGAAAAACCTTGAAGAATTTCCAAGACATGACACAAGCTAATGTTCCCAAAAGAGGACCAGATTGTCTGATTGATGCCTTTTACTTATTTGTTGTCTAATTGTTTTGCCGTCCATTACTCCCAGCTGTGCAGCTTGTGTGGGAGGGGGTGACTGCAGAGTGGATCCTCAGCTCTGCAGCAAAAGTTCAGCTCTGCAGCACAAAGACAAACAGGACTAAGAAGAAGACTTTTAGGCTTTACTTAAATATCTGTTCAGCTTTTCTGCACAGAGCGAGTTCTAGAACCCATGGCTTTGGGGCCACATGCAGGTCTTTGTAACTTCGACCAAAACCGAAGAAGGTTTAAATTCATAACCACGTCAGAAAAGGGCAGTTTTACCATTTTTCCTGCCCAATTTGAGTCAAAGTGTGAATAAAATGTCTCTCACAGAATGACATTAATATTAGAGAGCCAAACGTATTGATCAGTTTGCACTGCACTTGATCGGATTCCTGTCAAACAGTGAACTCTTTCTCTAAAAAGCATTAGCAAACTAAACAACTTAACCGCATTTGACGTGAAAAAATGTGCAGTTTCTACTGCGCAGTACTATCTTAATGATGAAAAATAAAAAGTTCTGCAAAAATATGGAAATTCATTCCAATAACAAAGGGACGAAAAAGGTATTTTTGATTCAGCAAAACTATCAAAGATGAACTGAAAGATAGTTTAATACTGTAAACTCAGAAAGTCACATTAAATATCCAACAAATAGGTTTGCTGTGCTAATTTACTGATGTCAGTAAATGGTCATTATTTTCAAAAATAAATAAATAATTATAATCATTTCATCAATCATATAATATTAGTATCTATCAGAAGACATTTATGATATTTTAAATTGTTTCTACAAAAAGTGTCAACAAAAGTGACTTGAAAAGTTCTGAACACCAATTTGTCTTTGTCCTTTGGTGGAAAAATATACTGTTAGTTTAAATTTGGGATTAATTTTTGAAGCTTTTATCTCAAAACTTTATTAATTACTGAAACATTTAAAGCAATAACTAACATCTCACAATGTTTCAGCAAGCGAGAAAACTTAAAAAGCCACAAAAAGGTTGAATACACAAGCAAATAAAGAAATTAAATTTATTATGGTATTTTCTGATTTAAAGCCTGCTCATAAAAATAAAACAGTCATTTCTTTGTTTGATACAACAACAGTTGTTTTTCTTCTTATTCAGACAAATATTAAGTTTTCTATGTCTCAATTCATAACATGGCTTTTTTAGACAACAATGTAAAAATAAAGTGTTTGCGTTGTTTGTTGTCTTACAACTGACCATTAACCTCAACTGCTTAATGAAGCACAACATTAAAATGTAAAAACTTAAATGTATTTTTATGAATAATAGATAGATTTATGATGAAAGTATTTCAGCAGTTTAAATGATGTCAGTAAATGTAATTAAAACTTTAGAATCAAGTCTTTGAAAGTAAAAAAAAAGCTGTTTTACCAAACTGAACTGTACAGTAAACTTTACAACATCGATATTTTCTATACAGCAATATTTCAACTGTAGAATAGCAACAACATTAAAATAATTTAAAAATTATTAACTGTACTCTAATTTAATATTTAGATTTGGTAAATGGGACAGCACGGTGGCACAACAGGCAGAGCTGCTGCCCCTCAGTGAGCAGGTCCCCGGTTCAAATCCCGGTCCAGGGACCCTTCTGGGTGGAGTTTGCATGTTCTCGTCGTGCATGCATGCTCTATGTGTCCCTGTGATGGAGACCTGTCCAGGGTGTCCCCCACCTTTTGCACAGTGATTGCTGGACATGGGTACCAGCGACCCCCACAACCCAAAAAGGAAGAAGCGTGTAAAGATAATGGATGGATGAATTTGGTAGATGGTCCAACCTTTATAGCATATTGTTAATGTATTCAGTGTTTTTTAAGGTTTTCATGACATCTTTTATGTTCATCACATACCCGTTCACACACAGCATTTTTTATTTTATTTTACATCTTTAATCATTGTAATTAACACTTTAATTATCACTCATGCTTCAGTAAGCATGTTGGGGGCAGTTGGGTGTGAGTGTGTGTGTGTAAGGTTTGTATCAATGTCTTGCTTAAGGACCCTATAGCATACAGTAGGGTGTGGGGGCCAAACCCACAATCCTTAGGTAAAAGGACAACCTCCCAAATCACTAAGCCAGACCCAGTTTGTTGTTATTTGTCGAATAAATTACATTTTTTATTAGATCTTGCAATCTAAAAACCTAACACAAAATACATACAACTATTTAGTCTCATATTTATCATATTTGTCTGACATTTATTCCATACGCAGCAATTAATCCACATTTAGTTTCATGTCCTTGTTGGCATCTATTAAAGATTTTGCAGATTTTCCGATGCCTGTTTAGTCTTGAATGTCAGTTTGAAAAATTATAAGTAGTTTGTTAGATTTGTTTTAGCTGTTTGAAAGACCTGTATGTACAATTTTATAACAGCCTAAGCTAAGGACATCAGATCACTGCCTCCGCAGTAACTTTGAGGGAATTTTTAGTAATTTTTTCAATGACTAAATCAGTCTTTGGTCCTGATAAGACTTAAGTGCTGAGGATTTGTCCATTCCTCTGTATAAATTTAGTCCCTGAACATTGCACTGTTTACCTTTTAATTCCAGTCGTCTCTAAGAGAAACACTAGAATTTGATGCACTGAGGCGAGGCTGTTCTCATTAGTCTCTGTATCCGCAAGGAACTGGCCCAGATAAACCTGCTCAGCAAGTCTTTCCCCAAAGAGTTGCAGATACTGTGCTAGATATGCAAAACCAAGCAGGCAAAGAACAGAACAAGCTCGGTGGGGAGAAGATTTAAAGTCTGTTTTGTTGTTCCGAGAGCAGCAGATCAATTAACTCCTCCCAAACTGTGCGTGTGCACGAGACAGTTCCAATGTGAGTGAGTTGATGTCTAAAGTAAAGGCGTTTAGTTGAAAGGAGCTGGCAGTCTAAAATCATTAAAAATGTAGGTGTGACACATAAACCAGTAACACTTGTCAACACTGGTGCAAATTTGCACACAAATTTGTGTTACCATCAGGTTAGTGGGTGTAAAAACAAATATTAACCTATTTATTATCACTTATCAGAAGTTATCTGACCTATATGTGAAGAGAAAAAAGTTGAAATTTAAGAATTATATACAGTGTGAATGTGCCAAATTACAAAAATATGCCTTACATTAAAGTTTAAAAGAATGATCCATGCACTAAAGATGCTTTTCATCAGTATGAATTAATGTGTGTTTGTTTTTAATAAGGCATTTGAAAAGAACATTTGGCTGATAATCCAAAGCATTGATGCTTGAAACATAATTTTGTTTCTTATGCGGTGCAATTTAATATTACTTATAAGTTTAAGGATGCATACGAATGTCCGACTCACCTTGGTCAAGAGACTTGGCAGGAGCCCAGCTTTTGAAGTAGTCATCCTGTGTGGAAACACAAGAAACTGGGTTATATATAATTTGTTTTAAAAGGCCAGGTGAAATGTATTCATTTAAGAAATAAATTGGTAAATAAAATAATTAGTTTGTTGTTGGTTCAATGACGGTTTTAGTTTTATTTGGATATTAATAATAGTCCAAGTATATAAGAAATATGCAGGCGATCCACTGGAGGATAATTAAGTTGTAGGATCTAAAGAGGAGATGAACTATAATTAAAACATTGAAAACAGTCTAATTTTTTTACACTTAGCAACAGAATAAAAAGAGATTCGGCTGCAATTAAAAAACATCTTGAATTACAGTTTAGCAGTTTTTCTACTCAATAAAAAATATATATTTGTATTTTTCAGAACAGTTCTATTCATACCTAACCAAGTCTACTCAATTGAAAACATTTAAGTGATATATTATTTAAATTCATCAAGCATAAGATCGTTAGGATTTTTCTGAGTAAAAAGCATAGTAGAGCCACTGAAAGATTATTTCTTACCCTGCTAGGAAAAAAAAAGGTGTGGAATAATGATTCTCAATGAGAAGAGAGACAGAGATTAAATGTCACTGTTTTGCCAAGCTTGTGTGCCTTGACTGTAAATGACATCAAACATCATTTGATGACATAAGAGCAAATAACATGGATGGGACCAACGTATTATATATGATGTTGTTTGTAGAAGCTCAGCAGACAAATCAAAAGTGCACTTGAACAAATCTGTGACATTTCGTATGTATCCATGAGTTTTCAGGTTTTTCCTTTAATTCCAGAATGTCCAACACTATTTTCTATTTTTTTTTTGCAAGGATGCAACAGATAAGATCCCCTTTAATGCTGTACCTGTTTTTTTTTCTTCTTTTTTTTAATTTTCAGGATTAATGTGGTGAAAAATTGCCTTTTAAATCAAACCTGCTGCACTTCTTGCCCTATGTTTAAAAGCTAAGTAGGTTATACCTTATAAAATACCACCATAGTACAATTCATCACTTACGTATGACTCAGTAAACAAGGTCAGTTTTTATGGTAAAAAAGGTCAGAATATAATAATATAATAGTGTACCCCCCCCCCCCCCCCCACACACACACACACACATACACATACACACACATTTGTCTTTCTATCTTTACAGGGACATTGCATTGACTTCCATTAATTTTTCATTAATTTCCATAGCCTAACCCTGACACTTACCCTATACCTAATCATTACTAGTACATACCTAACCCTAAACCTAACCCATCCTCAATTCACACCTTAGTCCTAAACCTAACCCCTAACCCACCAATGGCACTTCTTCTTATGGGGCCTGGGCTTTGTGTCCCATAAGGAGAAGTTGGTCCTCCTAGTGTAATATATGTTGGAATCTAACTAAGTAAAGTCAGGTCCTCTGGATGGATTCTTCTCGTTGAAACATTTTATCTTTAATCAAAAAAGACTTCATCAGTCTGAGGAGCTGCAATAAACTCAGTCTTATAAATAGCACCTTCTCATAGTGACCCACTATGAGAAGGTGCTATTAGCAAGCAGCCATCAGTGCACTAATGATCGGTCATTAGACTGATGGTCCTTTCACCAGCAAAATGGTTGACCCACTATGAGAATATGCTACTTATAAGACTGAGTTTGTTGCAGCTCCTCAGAGTGACAAAGTCTTTTTGATTGAAGACAAAACATTTCAACAAGAAGAATCCATCCAGAGGACCTGACTTTACTTTGTTAGATTTTTCTACATGGATTTTTGAGCATGCATCAGGATATTTGGAATAATTGGCCTTGTAAGGTAACAAACACAACCCCCCACCCCCCACCCCCTCCACGCACACACAAATGCACAAAAATGTGTGTAGGTGGTATCTATAGTTCAAGTAGAGCAAACCATATGTTCATCAGCAGGGAGTGAGCCTGTGTTGCTGACACTGTGTGAAGAAGGCAGAGAAACCTGCTGCTTCTGAAAGTGGGATCTCTATCTTTTTCATTATTGAATAAGAGAGACACAGGTGGAGCAGGGTTGGGGGAGTTGGGGTAGCAGGGTTGACGCAGTAAGCTGGACGGTTGGAAAATGAACGTCAAACAAAGATGAAAACAGCCGTTAGAAGATGGATTGATGATCCATGAGCCCAGCACTTCTGTTAATAACAACTGCCAGCACTGACTCCAACACAAACAATTTTAAACTGAGAAGTTAAAACATAATTAGCTTATTCACTGGGTCTGATTTAATCCATATCTCCTGTTTTTTCCTCTTTTTATTTCCATATTTCTTGATTTGCCTTTATTAGAAAAGTTCTAATACATAGTTGTGATTCTCTGCAGAGTTACATTAAGTCTTAGTCATAGGATGTCTCTCATTTTATGGGTGTTTTTAAAGCACATTTTAAATGTAACCAACAACAATGAAGATAAGTTACACACCATGTTCCTGAAGTACACAAGCATGATTTCCACTGTTAGGCTAAACAGAGATGAGCTATACCGTGCAAGCTAAGAGGATTAGATGTTTTTGCTTCACTTATCCTAGTGGGTTTTCAAAATGACAGACTTTAGTGTTTGCTCAAAAACAGTCCACTTCTCAATTTAGTGCAAGCTTCTTTTGCAGACATTAAGATTCCCAACTCATCAAATACTTGACATCCCATTTCACAATTTTGCTGTCTAGCTCTGCCCTGCATGTCATGGCAGCTTACGCCATTGTCCCAATACTTACTTGTGAAGTAGCGGAAAGGTCACGGCATATTTTTTTTAATGCACATTTTAAATGAAAACAACTCTGTGCTCCAGCATCAACGTGTGGCATGGAGGCTGCAGAAAGAAAAGCTTTGCAGAGAGTGGTGAAGGCTGCACAGAAATCTGTGGGAGTCAGTCTCTCCACTATCACAGACATCTACACCTCCAGATGCAGGACGAGGACCACATGCATCATGAAGGACCCCACTCACCCAGCACACACACTTTTTGCCCCGCTCCCCTCAGGAAGGAGGTTGAGGAGCATTAAGTGTAGAACCACTAGAATGAGGAACAGCTTCTACCTTGAAGCTGTTAGACTCATGAATATCTAACCAGGATAATCACTGTGAAAAAAAAATCACATCATGTTGCTACTGATCTGTTTCAATGTTGATGTGTTCATGCGTGCTCATCTGCTCACACAGACTCATGTCCATACCCAGTGAATATTTTTTTATTTTCCATTAGCATGACTAACAATAATTATTTGAAATATATTTTATAACACTGCAATTCCTCCATATTATCTATCAGACTGATTAATAATACCTCTGAAACATGTGGAAATTAAAAATCTTAAAAATCACCAGATCTACATATTAATATGCTGATGAACACCATGTCTGACCAGACATCAAACCTGCCATGAATTTAAATTAGCAATAACTCTTCAGCTCTTTGACTATTCCTGTAAGCAAATGTTGGACAAACACTGCTGTGCCTGGGGGCTTCTAGAGACACTGTGAAATGTTTCAAAACTGCTCTATCAAGATAATGAAACAAGGACTACACTTACCTCAGCTTCCTTTAAGTAATTGCAGAGGGCAGAGCAGAAATAGAGAAAGGGGAGAGGAAGAAAGTAATGTCAGTAATTATGGCACAGTATGCTATATATCAGATCTTTTACAACATCGTGTTACTCATTCTGAATACTGAGTTTAACTTAAAATATCCATTTAATGTGAATCTGACTCTGAAGGCGCGCAAATACCAAAGGACCCACACACATACACACACACACTGGCACTCCCAGATGTATGAGATGGCCTTATTTGATGTGGCATGTAATTTGAAACACAATCAGGGCAAAATGTACAGGCAGAGTGGCAGCATGGCATAAAGGAAGGAAAGAAAAGAAAAGGAGCAAAGAGAGGCTGAAAAGTTGGGCACAGACAGAAATGTGTTCTATCCATCCATCCACCCATCCATCCATCCATCCATCCATCCATCCATCCATCCATCCATCC